GGGAGTGCACCCAGCGCAGGGCTTGGCACTGGGGACCAAGGGGTGGGTGATTCACTCACTCTCTTTCTCTGTCCACCCTCCAGCTATGCTGTGGAGCGCAAGTTCGAGCCTTTCTACAAGGGCGGGAAGGTGCAGGTACCAGCTCGGGGGGCGGCGGGTGGGGGCGGGGGCAGAGTGGTGGGGCAGGCAGGGATTACGGGGTGTTATCTTGGCTGAGACCCCTTCTGTCACCAGCTGGACCAGACTGGGCAGTACCTCTTCTGTGTCTGTGGTACCAAAGTCAACATCCTGGATGTGGCCTCAGGGGCCATCCTGCAGAGCCTGGAGCAGGTGAGGGCAGGGAGAGCCAGGGTGAGGGACTGGCGTGGAAAAGCAGCCTATTCTCATAGCACTCTGTGCGCCCACTCTGGCCCCTAGGAGGACCAGGAGGACATTACTGCCTTTGATCTCAGCCCTGATGATGAGGTATGTGGGGCAGGGACAGGAGGTGGGTTCTAGTACTTGAGTCTATGAGGATGGGTGGCCTTGCCTCTACCCTCCACCCCCCACCCCCCAGGTAAACTACATCCTCCCCTAGGTGCTAGTGACAGCCAGTCGGGCACTGCTGCTGGCTCATTGGGCCTGGCGAGAGGGCAGTGTCATCCGCCTGTGGAAAGCGATACACACAGCCCCTGTGGCCACCATGGCCTTCGATCCCACCTCCACACTGCTGGCCACAGGTAGGGCCCCAGCAGGTGGATGGGCCGGCTGGCGGGCACGGGGCTTGGGGCACACCAGCCCCCTCACCTCAAACACATTTCCACAGGCGGCTGTGATGGGGCTGTGCGTATCTGGGACATCGTGCGGCACTATGGGACACACCACTTCCGGGGCTCACCAGGTGTCGTGCAGTGAGTAGGGACAGCAGAACCTGGGTGCGTGGGGCATCACGCTGGGAGGGCACCGCTCACCTGCCGCACCTGCCTACCTGCAGTTTGGTGGCCTTCCACCCGGACCCCGCACGCCTGCTGCTCTTCTCCTCAGCCACAGACGCCGCCATCCGCATATGGTCGCTACAGGACCAGTCGTGCCTGGCTGTACTGACTGCCCACTACAGCGCTGTCACCTCACTCACCTTTAGTGCTGATGGCCACACCATGGTCAGGTCAGTGACCAGCTACCCAGGTCTTAGCAGGCGGGAGGGCCATGGCTGAGATCTGGGAACTGAGCTGGCTGTTTCCCCAGCTCGGGCCGGGACAAGATCTGCATTGTCTGGGACCTGCGGAGCCACCAGGCCCTGAGGACCATCCCTGTGTTTGAGGTGGGGCACCGGGGGGGTCAGGGCAGGGAGTGGGTTAGGGCTGGAGTGGGGCTGCCACCTCTGACCCGCTCCTCCGCAGAGTGTGGAGGCCGCCGTGCTGTTGCCAGAGGAGCTGGCGCCCCAGCTGGGTGTGAAGTCCACGGGCCTGCACTTCCTGACAGCTGGCAACCAAGGTGTGTGGGGCCAGGCCAGGGTGGGCAGCGGGGACTGGGGGTGGCCGCGGACCTGTGAGTCTCAGCAGTCTCTATCCCCGCATAGGTGTGCTGCGCGTGTGGGAGGCGGCCTCGGGGCAATGTGTCCACACGCAGCAGTCGTTGTCAGGCCCTGGGCGGGAGCTGACCCACTGCGCCCTCGTCCGAGCTGCTGGCCTGCTCCTCAGTGTCACTGCTGACCACAACCTTCTGCTCTATGAAGCACATTCTCTGAAGCTGCAGAAACAAGTGAGCACTGCCCCCTGGTCAACCTGCGGTCTGGGGATGTAGACCCTCTTCTCACCTGAGCCCTGGCTTGTGTCCCTCCACCCTGCAGTTTGCCGGCTACAGCGAGGAGGTGTTGGATGTCCGGTTCCTTGGGCCTGAGGACTCCCACATTGTCGTGGCCTCCAATAGCCCCTGCCTGAAAGTATTTGAGCTACAGACGTCCGCCTGCCAGATTCTCCATGGCCACACAGGTGAGGGTGCCAGGCCGACGCTCCTGGGACCCTTTCCCTTAATTGATCTCTGACCGTCCTCCTTCCACTTTTCTTTCAGATATTGTCCTTGCCCTGGATGTGTTTCGGAAGGGGTGGCTCTTTGTCAGCTGTGCCAAGGTGAGGTACCCCAAGAGGTGTGGAGGTACAGGTCCTCAGTGGGAAAGTCTGGGCCAGCCTCTGTCCTCACACCTCCCGTCCCCAGGACCAGAGCATTCGCGTCTGGAGGATGAACAAAGCTGGCGAAGTGACCTGTGTGGCTCAAGGCTCTGGGCACACACACAGCGTGGGCACCATCTGCTGCTCTAGGTAGTGGGCCAGGGCTGGGATGCAGAGTGTCACAGACGTGGAGACCTAGGCCCTGCTGATGGAGTCCCAGCTCAGGGAGACGGGGAGGAGAGGTGGTGCCTTTGACCTTGCTCTTTGAAGCTTCAACCTAGGGATCTAGAGTAACGAACGAAGCACCCGGGTGCCATTGTGGGTGGGGTTTTCCTCGGAAGTGGCCTCGGAGCTGGGTGGATGCAAGGGGTAGGACAGGGGGACAGGGGTCCTCAGACTTTTTAAACAGGGGCCAGTTCACTCCCTCAGACCGTTGGAGGGCCGGACTATATTTAAAAAAAACAACAACAAATCCCTATGCACACTGCACATATCTTATTTTGAAGGTAAAAAAAAAAAAACGGGAACAAATACAATATTTGTATTTGCATGTGGCCTGGGGGCCGTAGTTTGAGGATCCCTGGGGGAGGATGTTGGGGCAGAGAGAATGACACTGAACAAGTCCAGGTTGAGAAGGCGCTCCCCGCATTTAGGGCTGGGGTCCCATTATTGGGACAAAGTCACCTGGGGTGGCGGCACCAAGGGTAGGCAGTGCAGACTTGAAGTGCAGACAGGTGGTCCCAGAGATGCGTTTGGGTAACGCAGGCCATCTGCCTTCTGGAACAGCCCCTCTGATCTGGACCATGGTCCTGCAGGCCTGCGCTGGGGCGCACTGGCAGACAGGGCTGGCGAAGGCTCATCAGGCGTCTCTCCCTGCCCCCCAATTGGGCTTTAGGCTGAAGGAGACCTTCTTGGTGACGGGCAGCCAGGACTGCACTGTGAAGCTGTGGCCCATCCCCAAAGTCCTGCTGTCCAAGAGCATAGCCCCAGACAGTGGCCCCGTTCTCCTACAGGCCCAGGCGACACAACGCTGCCACGACAAGGTGAGTGCATGGGTGGCAGTGTGGCGGGGCCCTCACTGGGACGGGTATCTGAGCTGCTACCTGTTGCCATCACTAGGACATCAACAGTGTAGCTGTTGCTCCCAATGACAAGCTGCTGGCCACAGGCTCACAGGACCGCACAGCCAAGCTCTGGGCCCTGCCACAGTGCCAACTGCTGGGTGTCTTCTCAGGCCACCGGCGTGGCCTCTGGTGTGTCCAGTTCTCACCTATGGACCAGGTGCTGGCCACTGCCTCAGCTGATGGCACCGTCAAGCTCTGGGCACTGCAGGACTTCAGCTGCCTTAAGGTAAGATGCCCCCACCCCAGGCCCGGCCCCCAGCCCAGTCCTGGTCCCTACCTGATGCTTTCTCATCCCCTCCCTGTCCCAACCCTGCAGACTTTCGAGGGGCATGATGCTTCTGTGTTGAAGGTGGCCTTTGTGAGCCGTGGTACGCAGCTGCTGTCCAGGTGACTGGGCTGGGGACAGGGCAAGGGTGTGGTGAGCTGGGAGAGAGGTCCCAGTGCTGAGCCCCTCCCAATCCCCAAACCCAGCGGCTCTGATGGGCTCGTGAAGCTCTGGACCATCAAGAACAATGAGTGCGTGAGGACGCTGGACGCCCACCAGGACAAGGTCTGGGGGCTTCACTGCAGCCAGCTGGACGACCGTGCTCTTACTGGCGCCAGTGACTCCTGTGTCATCCTCTGGAAGGTGTGTGGGTGTCGGTGCAGTGGGTGAAGGGTGGGCAGGGCGGCCTGAGGTTCCACTCTGACCCCGGTCTGACCCCAGGACGTTACCGAGATGGAGCAGGCAGAGGAGCTGGCCAAGCGGGAGGAGCAGGTGGTCAAGTAAGTCTGAGGGTCCCCCCCAGCCTCCCTGTGAGTGCCACCCGTATGTCTGCGCCTCCCATGCGTCAACATCTCCCTCCCCTCGGGGTAGGGTGTGTTGGCATCACCCTGCTTTGTGACATGGGGAAACTGAGGCTTGGAGCACTGACACAGGGCACCACCCGTGAGTGCTCAGGCCTGGTCTGCTGACTTCAGCCCCGGCCCTAGACCTGTGGCCCTGTCCTCCCTCCTTCCCCTGCCAGGCAGCAAGAATTGGACAACCTGCTCCAGGAGAAGAGGTACCTGCGGGCGCTGGGCCTGGCCATCTCCCTGGACCGGCCCCATACTGTGCTGACGGTTATCCAGGGTCAGTGCTTCCTCAGGGGTGGAGGGGGAAGGAGGGTCTCTCAGGTCTGTCCTGCTCCTTCCCTGGGGCTTATCTTCCTCCTCCCGCAGCCATCCGGAGGGACCCTGAGGCCTTCGAGAAACTGGAAGCCACTGTGCTCCGACTTCGGCGAGACCAGAAAGGTTCGGGGCAGGAGGGTAGGGGCTGGACGGTGACTGATAGGAGTGGGGTGGCCAACAGCAGGTCTGACCGTCCTGTCGCCCTCAGAGGCCTTGCTGCGCTTCTGTGTCACGTGGAACACCAACTCACGGCATTGCCACGAAGCCCAGGCCGTGCTGAGTGTGCTCCTGCGGCACGAGGCCCCCGAAGAGCTGCTGACCTACGACGGTGTGCGGGCCTCGCTTGAGGCCCTGCTGCCCTACACAGGTACATGGACACAGCCCCGGGTGGGGTAGGGAGTGGCCTGGCCGGGCTCCATGGACACCCGGCCCCCCCTGACATCCTCTGTCATCCCCAGAGCGGCACTTCCAGCGGCTCAGTCGGACCCTGCAGGCAGCCACCTTCCTAGACTTCTTGTGGCACAACATGAAGCTGCCCACCCTCCCTGCAGCCCCCTCTGCCCTCTGAAACACCAGAAGGTTTTTTGTTTTTTATTTTTTATTTTTGTTGTTGAAACACCAGAAGGTTTTATCCCAGTTCCCTGTGTCGGTTTGGTTTTGTCTCACCCCAGGTCCCAGGCTACAACCTTGGCCAAACACCACCCCCGTGCCTTGGCCTGTGCAATCCAACAGGCCCTGCCCCTCAGCACGGACACTGAGTGTGGGTTAATCAGACCTTCACTCAGAGGAAATGGGAGAGTGTAGCTTCCTGGTCCTGCCAGCCAGAGAACCCCACCCTCCCCCTGCCCTGGGGGCGGTGTGGCTGCCATCAGTCATCCCCGGGGTTGGGAGCCTCTGCCGCTCCAGCTGTGGGGTACACAGCACTCTCCATGCGGTTCCACACACCCTCAAGGATGTCCCTGACTCCGTGGGTCCCTCCCCAGTTTCCTACGGGTGATGGTGCAGCAGCGGCTCTGAATGGCACTCAGCGGGGGGCGGGCTGGCACAGCAGGAGGAAGTGTCATGACCTGGGGGGACTCAGGGGAGCTTTGGGCCTCCCCCGCCCTGTTCTCTCCACCCTCTGCCCCAGAAGAGAACCCTGGTCCATTCAGGAGCTTGCCGAGCCCATCTGGCTGCAGTAACACAGAGGGGAGAAGGCCTGTGCGGCCACCGAACCTGCAAGGAGGGCAGAGTTTGGTTAGCACTCGGCCCTGCCCTCCCAACCCCATTAGACTCCATCCCCCTCCCTCCCCACCAAAGCCCCACCTGCACAGCCACCAGCCGCGGTCGGACATTTCCAGCACGTGCACTCTTGCCCCCGCAGGCACTGACAGCTCGTCGGCCCGGCTGCCTTCGTAGGCTTGGGAAGCACAGAACTGGGAGCCTGGGAGTGGGCACTCGGTGGTTACCACAGGGCTTCCATCTCTGTCCCCCCATCGATCTCTCACTGAATCGCCTGCACTTCCAGGCTCTCCCTCTCTGTGTCTCTGCTAATGCCAGGGACCATTCTAAAACCCCTGGGGCTCAAGCCCACTATGGGGCCCGAGTACATGCAAGGGGACTGCTGCCACCACCTAGTCTTTCCACGGCTTCTCACCCTTGGGTCAGGTGCTTTCTGTCCCCCAGCCTTGCTGCACACTGCCCAGCAGTGGTGGGGGGCATGGGGAGGGGATGAGTCTCATTACCACTACTCCCTAAGGGCTGTCTCCCGTCTTGTCCTTGGCCCAGGGCCACCTCTTCCAAGTAGGGAGCAGGAAACCATGCTGTCTGCTGGTCTTCATTAGCCACCAGCCACCAACCTGTACACAAAAGGTGGGCAGGGGTTCAGATCCCCCGCATGCTGGGATCCTGGCTGCAACAGGTCAAGCCCCCAGACTCCTGCCCAGCCCCACCTGAGGGGTGTCGCAGCAGCACGTCTAGGGCCTCCTGGGCCTGCGCATGGAAGGGTTGGCCCCGTGTATCCTGGGTACTGAAGGGCTGCAGACAGTGCAGGCGCAGAGCCTCCAGGCTGCCTGTAGCAAGACTGCCCACAGGGCGGGGTGGGGGCTCTTCCAGGACGGGCAGGATCACCAGGCTGGAAAGGGTGGTCGCAAGAGAGAGGGGTGTGGGGATGGGCTGCCACGCTTCACCCAGCCTTGTACTGCCCAGGCCCTTTCTCCAACACTCGGCCCCCACCACCCAAAGCCTTCCCTCGGGGAGTCAGGGCGGGTCAGGCACCTGCCAAGTGGGAGTGAAGGCTCCAGGTCCTGGATCTGTGGCTCGAAGAAGGCGGTGAGCACCGGCCCCCTGGATACTTGCTCTGCCTCCAGCAGCGCCCGAGAATAGGCCTCCAGCAACTGCAGGCGCGCCAGGCCACGGCCTTTGCGCCCCCCACGCGCCAACAGTGATGTAGATGCGTCTATGGGCACCACAGGGGACAGACCATGGGACCCCACCCCAGGGCGCCCATCACCAGGTTGCTGCTCCTGCCCCTCCCCTTCCCCCTCCCAGAATCCCTGGTGCCTGACCTGGAAGTTTGGGGAGAACTCGGTCGGATCTCCGCAGCAGGCCTGCCTCCACCGGGAAGGTCTCCTTAAGGATTTTCTAAGGGAGAGAACCGGCATATCGGTCTTTGAGAGCCCACTGGGTGACCTTGGGAGGGTGGGGGGATCTCGCTGGGATCGTAGGGGCTAGAAGCCAACACGGGGGTGAGGGCAGGCATGATGGGGCTGTCGCTCGGAGGGAAGTCCCAGGTTCACTCACATGGAGCCTCTTAAACTCGTCCCAGCTCCTCCGCACCAAGGTGTTGCTGTCATCCGACCAGCACACAGAGAAGGCGAACATCTGTTGGGAGGAAAGGCTGGGGGCACCTGGGAGGGACTGGACCCTGAACTTCCTCCCTCCATCCCTCCCTGGTTCCTCCTAAGGTCCACAGGGACCAGCACTTACTTGGAGCTTCTCTGTCTGCACCAGAGCTGCTGCACGGACTGACACTGGGTGCCGAGGGCCCACCATGGCTGTGGTCTCGCGGGCCCTTGTCCTAGGCTCTGGAGTCAGCAGCGTGTGGAAGAATATCCCGCGGGCTCCCTAGCCGCACAGGGACGGGAGGTGCTTCTGGGCACCCGGAAAGACTGGTTGGAATTCCCCTGACGCCTCAGACCTGCCAGGGGCATTCCCACATCGCACCCCCTGTCCTTCTTAGCTTCCTCATTGGCCTCCAACGGAAAACCTGGATGGAGGAGCAGGAGCACAGGGCTTGGCGAGTGGGAGGGGGAGCACTGGGGCGGTGGTGGGGCTGGGACTGCTGCCCTGGGAGGCGGAGGAGGCAGAGGCCATCAAAGTGCCGCTGGGCCTGGCCCACCCTCCCTGCTCTCCCAGTCCTGTGTAATGCTGGGGTTGGTGAGAGCCTCCTGCCAAGGGGTGCCCCCTGCATCACCTTTGAACTTGCCTGGACAACTAACACAGTTGTCATCAGGAACGGCTTAATCCTCACCTTGGAGGGAAGATTTCTTAATGTCCCCGAGTCACAAAGGAGGAAATTTGTATGAATTGAATAATGTCGGTTTTTCTGTATGTGTTGGGGAGGGTTGGATCTCCCAGGCTCACCCCAGAGGTTTCCCTCCCTGTGGTGGTCCATCCATCTCTACAGTCACTGGCACTTGGGGGAGGGGGGATGACTAGGATTGTTTTGAGAGTTGCCTCTAAATTTATAATTTATTACAAGTTACTGCAAACACAGCCTCTGAGATCAGGAGTGACCATTCCCCCACTGGGATGGTGAGAAGACCCTGTAGTCTCCAGAGGATGTGCCCAGATACCCCACAATTCCGGCTGCTTCCTTTCTTTCAGGGGAGATTTCTGGAGCTGCATTTAACCTTGGTGCACAGTGTTCCTCCTGCTGTTGAGGCCACCAGCTCTGTGCTGGGACCCCACCCCAAGCCCCTCAGGGAGGAGTCGGTGTCTAGGGCATCCCTCCAGGAAACCACATGGCCTGGACAAAGGGCTTTTGTGTGTCCCTCCAGCGGCTCTCTCTGAAGCTTTCAAACCTTCACATTTCTTGGCCTGGACAGTGAACACCTGCTGCATGGGCCTGATTTTCAGAGTGCCTTTAGCCCAACTGTCTCACCCCAATCTCTGTGGGGGCCTTGCTGAGGGCGTCTGGCCTGGCAGCGTCAGGTAGGAACAGACCCTGCTCCCTGGAAGACAAAGGACAGAGGCTAGGGAAGGGCCAGTTTACTAACAGCCAGGGACCTAGAAGGCTGCGGAGGCCCCCTCAACTAACCCACTGATAGCCCCCTGTTTCCACACTCCCCACAACCCTGGATCCTTCCCACTCTTCCCCTCTCCATAGCCCTTACCCTTATCTCTCACCTC